TTACCTCAAACTCCAGCCTTCCCGTTTCGAGTCTCATTACCTCTGCCTCTACTACCGTTCCTAGTTTTGAAATCTTTTTTAACTTTATACGATCTTCGTATATCCTCTCTTCACTTTCGAGTCCTTCTCCAGTAATTGAGACAGAATCAGGATTAGCTTTAACATAACTAACCACCGCCAATAAACAAAATGGCTTACCTCGCACTACGATTTCATATTCTTTAGCTTGCACTGGAGATTTCAAAGTTCTTTAATGAAGGAACAAACTGATGGTCGCCGAACCAAATATTGGCACTTCTATTGGAGTGTCATGGAACTTCCCGATCTGATACGATTTTACTCTTACCTTGTTGAACAAATTCAACATTTCGTTCACACGTAGATGCATGATTAAAGGAGCCGTCTGCCAATTTTCTTCATTTTCAGGATCGTCCATATCGAGTACAATTACTGTGTAGCTTCTACATATTTAAGCCACTATATAAACTGGCTCTTTTTCTAAAACATTTTCTCCCACCCAACTAAGATTATACCGCATCTTAGTTGCCATATATTGTGAAAGTAAATTCAAAAAAATAAAAATTACTTGGCGCCGACTAAAATCTGTGAATTAAATTAAATTAATTTCGCAAACAAAAGTTTAGACCAAAGTACCAACGTTATTGCAGCACGAAATTAAGATTACGACTATTAACAAGAAGAAAAATTTTAATTAAAATTACTTTAAAGCTATAAAACGATTGAAGATTATACTCAAATACAGTAAATACAGACCAACTAGTGAAAAAAATAAATATCTTTTAACGAGAAAACTTTACGCTGCTATAAATCAACAATAAAGTTTAGACTAAAGCAACAACGTTATTGCAACACAAAATTAAGATTTTAACTATTAACAAGAAGAAAAATTTCAATTAACAATAAGTTTAGCACGAATTCTAAAATAAATAACCTCAAACCGGTAAATAACATGATAGATTTAATGTAACAATGACGATAACCAAATAAAAAAACCAAATATAAAAAATATACGTAGTGCGGACTACTCCTCACTATTAATTTAAAATCAACACACAAAAAAGGAGATGATTATATAAAAAAACGCAAACTTTAATAAATTGAAATTGAAATTTAAATTACCAATAACAAATACAAATTTTAAATTAACGATATAAATTTACTTTGAAATTATTCTAATAATTTTAAACAAACGTAATAAGCAACGAATAACTTCTAACTTAATTTGAAAACAACGACGGAATTGCACCCAGTTGGAAAAAACTGAGACAGCGGCCGAACTACAACTTTCTTGTTTGGAAGAATGATTTCCACATTCACATAGCCATTGTTCCGCTTCTGTTTGTTCGTCACTCTCCCCAACTTCCACCCCGCTCTTCAGAGATAAGGTTCTTTCACCAGTACGACTTCTCCTATCTTTGGCAATCTTTTTAATCCATTGTTTAAATCTTTGTGGTCCGTCCGAAGCCTCTCTCTTAAGCTCAATATGTATTCATTTTGGGAGTAGTCCCAGTATAAATAAAAACAGTCAATTAAATTTTGAAATTGTAAGTTGACACAACGTACGATACAGAGTAAAAGTGATCAGAAAATGTTTGTTTGGCAGGCATATTAACATTAAAAAGCAATTTTTTCAACAATTTGACGAAGCACTGTTACGGTAGTGGAATTCAGAATTGTGCGTTTTTGAGAGGCAAAAACTGCAAGTAATTTTGCAGAACAATTTTTTCTTTTCACTCATCTATACCAGTACTGGTTCCTGATCGTAAAATCGTTTGTTGCCATTCAATCATTCAATTGTTAAGCCGTATCAGTTGTGTTACTACTGCACAGAGAAGTAACATTTAACTTAACCCTACTAACAGAGGACATGTCAGATGCGAAAATGAGGCACCATGCGAAATGCACTGGTTGAAATAGTTTTTTTCTTGAGATTATGCAACAGAGAGCTGCAGGTAAGTGAACTGATAAAATGCAACCGACCAGAAAAGGTCAAGAAATATTGCTTATAATAGCGGAGTTATGCCTGAGTTAGCATCAGAAGCTGCTCTCTTCGGCCTCTACTCTGTGGTCTATCAAAAACTGTTTGAAGCAATTCTTCTCTGATTAAAAATTTATTGAATGTTCTCACTGAAATTCGTTCTTTCTTAAAATCTAAAAAATTTCTTTGGTTTTTCGAATGACTGCAGTTAATTTTTTTTTTTCTTGTGAAGATGTCTTATTAAAGAGAATAGTGTTTTTTGAAAGTGACTTCTAGAGGAGAGCGCGAATAAAGCATAAACAGGATATTGCTAGAAGAAACAACATAGAGTGATTCTTCCTTCCTTTTTTCACATATACTGACCTCCGTTTTAGTTTCTGACTAAGGTTGCTTTCTGTCTAACAAACTTTCCCAACACTGCAAATTGCTTTCTTTTTTATTCTATTTTACATTTAGTTTCCTGACACTTTTTATCTCTTTTTTTTCCACGTTCTACTACAATTATCGTAAGAAATGAGGGAGATGAATACATAATGAGAAACTTACATGGAAATATGATCGTGAAGTATGCATTGAATTCTTGTTTCGATGCAGGTCTGAACAATTCAAATTTTATGAATCAATTATGTGCAATCTGAAGTCAGAAGAGCGTTATGCCAACTTTCTCACTTTTCCACCGCTCCCTCCAAATATCTGTTTTTTTTTTCGCTAAACAGTTTCAATGATCTTCTAATTGGAGAACAAAAAATAAGTAGAGCATGAGTTGACAAAGTTTCCTCGTATAATTATCGACATGAAAGGCAAGACATGCTTTTTATCTTATAACTGTTTTTTCCTCTTTTTTTTATTTTTTTTTATGAAAGTGTTCTTCATAAATAATTTCCGGTAACTTTTTGGTCGTCAAAATTTATAATTCTGTTTAACTTTGTTCAAATTTCTCTTTCCTAATTCGTTTTAAATTTTCTGCATTAATCACGTTTCTCACTACAATAGCTCTTCACGTGTTGTACGACTTTAACTCTGATTTTTGTTTGACAATAAACAGTAGTGAATGGTTTTTTTCAAAAAAAAACGAAGATAATTTTTCTGCTTATAAATTGACAAACATACATACAGTTAAGAATGTACAGTTCTATCTTCTTAATAATCACCAAATTCTGTAACAAACTATTCGTAACCGCATAAAAACTTTAATCGTCACAAATTTATTGAGAGCATACAAGTGTCGAACTTCAACATTTATTTTCTGGGTTACGATACACCGGGGTAGGAAGCGCTTTTGAATGTAATGAGGAAGAGTGAAAAGAACAAAGTATTCGAAGCAAACTGCTCAAAAGCTGCTTTTCTGAAAAGAATAATGGCTCTTTGAAGTCTTAACTAGCGGAACTGGTGACAAACGTAATCTCTAAAAAACTACATATTCAACTGAGAAACGCAATTGTTGACATATATTTTACCTTAAGTAACTATTTTTTTACTACTATTAAAAATTGCTTCTTTTTCAAATTACTTTTGATTTCCAGTTTTGTTCTGCATGCAGAGAATTTTGGTTTATGAAGTTCTTAAAAAGTGGTCGCAAAAAAAAAAAGGTTTGTAACTTATGTGACTTTGAAGTCTAAATAAAACTTCAATGTGTATAACTTTTCAGTTTCAAATCGCGCCACCAGTTGCACGTGCTCTGGAAGTTTTTTAATGCATAGTTGTTAATTTTTTGTAATTTTGTAACACTTTAAAAATGATCTTTTTTGACGCTTTTAATCATTCTTTCAGAATACTACCAGTTTGAAAAAAAATTTTATAGTACAGATATTTTTATACATTCAGTGCAAGAGATAAAAGGAACAATGCAGATTAATTTATAATTTGAGAAAGACAAGAAGATAACAGTATTTAGAAGAATGACCGATCTCACGACGAAAGCAAAAAATCACCAAGCTAATTTTATAGATGTTGAAGACTTAATCCTTGACATGATTTGAACCAGAATTGTAATGTGTTATAAAACTGGCTGGAAAAGAGTACAGAAAAGAGTTCATAAAAACTGTTGCATCTCAGATGTTTTGCTACAGCCAAAACCTCTCAGTAAATGCAACCGTAATTAATGTCGGAATTGTAAAAGTAGAGATATAATTTAGCCTCATTTCGATTGTATTTGACAAAATACTATATTCTGTCGCGAGCTAAAAAAACTACAATTTATTAAGTCTCTTTTTTTTGTATCTTTGTAAAGATGAACCAACTAATTTCAAGAACGTAAAAAACATCTGATTTGCAACGTAGAACTTCCCTGGGTGAAACATCACATCAGTCTGGAATTTCTTCCTTTTCACTACTTGCGTATTTTCTTAGAGTGGCTCTAAAGTAAAAAAAAAGGTTTCTATTAAGCAAATATTGAAATATAATTAGCTTTATTATGACGAAATTCCGCACCATCTTCTCCGAAGTTCGTAGAAAAATGCTTCCAAATATGTCACAGTTTAAAAACATCAAGACTTAATATATACTTGTTCAACTTCGAACATTAATCAGGACCAGACCATTGTTCTTAAAAGTTGAGCGTTGCGATCCTCAAGTGAGCAGAATCAGAAGAGAGAGATTAAGACTACTAGAAATCACTGAACTATACACGGTTGAATGAGTTGCAGTTAAAATATTTAAAGTTTTAGAGAAGCATTACAGAACTGAAAACTCCTAATTCCACGAAAATTTAGATGACTGATTATCTAAGCAGGCAAATTCTTTAAACTGGCTCTACTTTTCTCAACGCCGCACCGATTTGATGTTCCTTCAATTAGCTTAAAGTCATTTGTAGTTACATTGTTATTCTTGCGATTAGACTGTAGTCCTACAGGAAAATACAATGCATTTCTGCTGGTGAATATATTTGCATCTATGACTTCGTTCGAGGCGGTCAGAAAACAGGCTGCTAGAACTACTCTCTTCTGATTCCCAATAAAAAGCAGTATTAAGGTAATACAGAGCAGAATATTCAAAAATAATAGAAGAATTTTGAAAACATAAATGTAAACAAGCTCGAATACCTCTTGAGGATGAGTAAAAAATCTATAAGCCTTCAAAAAACATTTAGTGCTCTTCCTCAGTTTCTTGCAAAAATGGTAAAAATTCAAATTCTCACCGTTGATTCTTGACTGTCCTAAAACTTTTTGGCCATTAATTTTATACCGTTTTCTGCTTCATTCCTCTATTGATTAAGCGTTTCTTGCCACACGTCTTCACTGATATTTTTATACTTCAAGCAAAACCACAACTAATTAATGCATAGAACGTGCTGCACAATTAGTACAGTATAGAGCAAAGTAAACTGATAATTATTTTATTTAATAATCATCTTAAGTATACTTTTAAAAGGGCTAACTCTTTCAAAATTTCGCTAAACGTTGGGCGCTCTGTGTGGTTTCTATTCCAGCAATTTCTCAGCATTTGCTCTACTCTATCTGGCATTTTTTGAGAAGAGGAAGCCTTAAGTGCTGCAATATTTATTGTCGAGATTAAAAAGATTAAAAAATATCAAAAATTGCTAGGTGGGATTTTTCTGGTATCACGAGAAATACCTCATTGAGACAGCATTTTGGCGCTTTTGCAAGTGACGAAGTCTTTGTTTCAACTAAGGTTTTATAAATTATGATAATATATAACTCATGTGGAATCCTTTGACTCTGTTACTTCATTAACGGGTGATCAATCAAAATTTTTCTACTTTCAAACAATTTCACAAACTTTTTCAGAAGGATTTACTATTTTGATTATTTTTTGGTCCGTATCGCTTTATCTGCTTACTAAACCCATCTAACCCAAATATTTCACACTCAGTACTGTTTTTTGATTGCAAGTGTTGTTCTGTAATTTTTGTTCGCAGCGCTCCGTAGTACAACACAGTGAAATTTTTTATGCGTTTGACTGCTGATTCAACTCAAAAACGCGGTTCTAGAAGTGTTCCTTCCCTTTAATGTTCCTGCGAAAATAATGGAACCACTAATATTTCTTCCCGTTAGTTCGGAGCCCCTTTGTAAAAGTCATTTTGAATCAAGATTTAGATTTAAAGTGTCTCTTTCGTGCCGACCATCCCTGCTACTCATCACAGTATGCCTCCAAGAATCAAATTAATGCACTGCTGCGAGAGTGACAACAAAACAGTATGTCGATGACTTCATCGATACAGACAATGATACTGTAAAATTGTAAAAATATAACATTAGTTTGTACAAAACAAAAGACAAAGAAACACAACTTTGCCAACAAAAAAACAAAGAACTTCCAAAGCCCAATAACGGTTGAAGATGGTGAGCCCTTTGTTCTTCTGCTTTTAGACAACAAAAAAGAATTTCTTTTTTGGGAAGCCATAGGGCACATATCTCGAAAGAGAACTTGCAGTTTCCGAGGATATTGTTTTAGTTTTTATTATTATTCTTATTCGTTTGATTGAAAAAAGGTTGTGAACATTTTTTGTCTCTAAGTGATTTCAACTTGCTATAATTTCTGACTTGCTATACATCTAAACTCCAATTTGAAACGATCTAAAAAGTAAGCACCTTTTGTATAATCAGTCGTGTTTTATTATTTGGCTTCAAGAGTCATAGATCACTTAAATTAAATCTCTCTATTTCTCATTCTTTGGTTGTTGTCTCGTGGGAGAATTCGCTAATTCATCAATACTGGCAGAAATCCTTTACAAATTTGTTTACTAATCGTCTAAATTGTCTTTATTCTTTGTTCCAAAATTTTCTAATAAACCCTTCAAATATCGAATTGTCGCCATCCCTTCCAAAAGCAAGAACTTGAATCACTCATCTCTCTTTACTGTAAGTCTATAGAAAATTAGAAATCATAAGTGTAGTAACTGAGATCAGACAGAGCTCAACATAAAATAGCTCCCAAATCAGAAGTAGGTTACGGTAGGTCGACAAAAGAGAACTAACTGTGGCAAAGACGTCTAGTTAGAGTAAAAGACATTCAAGATTAAGTTTACTGTAAAGAACTAAAAGGGGGAAAGGACATCGTTTTTGGTTCTATTACACAGTACTTGCATTCAAAAAACAGTACTAAATGTAACATATTTGGGTTATGAAGGTTCAATAAGAAAGCAAAGCGATACAAACAAAAAAGTAATCACAGTAGTAACTTCTTCCAAAAAAATTTTTGAAAAGTTCGTCAAAAACAAAAAAATTTTAACTAGTTACCTAATTTTAACTTCTCAACTAATTTTTTAACAATAGCCAAACTGTATAGTCATTTCTGAAGACTATTATAACTGACTATCTGATTATTCAACATAGCCATGAGGGAAGAGTGGCCGTCTTTAGTACAAGTGTGGAACTCCAACATTGCTATGTTCTCCATTCCAGAAATTCCCGCAAAAATGCCCTTGATGAGATCTATAACTGCAACCTGAGACTCAGGGAAGCAAAAGGTACAACCCCCCACACAAAAAACAAAGATTAGACCTCACCTTTACTATGCTTCACAACCAGGTCTCTGATGTTCTCCTTCTACACCTGCCAACGACCGGAAGCCCCTGTAAACAAATTCATGTCGGGGATAACTAGACGTCACAAACTTATGACGATTCTAAATCACCTACATCACTTTTCCGCCAATGGGAAAACGACAACTTCCTTATGAATCACTTCTTTCCTTCTACTTTGAGACAAAAAATTTTATTTTTGCAGGAAACTTCAAGAAGAAGTCAGTTTAATATAAAGCGAATTACCAAATCTAACAAGAAATCTGAAAAAAA